GCCAAAAAGACGGGAAACGCGCCAATCTGCCTATAAATGCTGACAGACGTGACAGCGCACACCTTATTTCAAAATTCAAAAAGTGCGCCGCTGGGAGACGTGACAGCGCGCGCTTTATTTCAAAATTCAAAAAGCGCGCCGTTGGGAGACGTGATAGCTGGCGTCTTTTCAAATTTAAAAACGCGCCGCTGCCGCCTTAAATGTGAGGAGACGTGCGCTTTCAGTTTCGAGAGACGTGTGGCCAGTCACGTCTCGGTCTCTGGAGACGTGCGGTCAGCGCAACTGCGGGCCGTTGGATTGGCTTTGATTTGAGCCGTTGATTCTAGGTTACTATGGGTATAAATAGCGGGGGACCCCAGTTGCTTTGTCACTTCTGCGTTTTGCTTCTTGAGCTCGCATCCAAGTTTCAGCTCGCGTCCAAGCCTTTAGTTCGCATTCAAGCTTTTAGCTCGCGTTCAAGTTCCCGTAGTCCGTTCAAGCCTTTTTCCGGGTGAGTACTTTCCTGGAACCCTTCTTCTCCTTCCGATGTCTAGCTCGGATAGCTCAGACAGTTCAAGGGGGTCGGACGCAGGTTCTACGAACCGAGTTGCATCCCTCGACAGTTCTAGTGAACCTGAGGTAGAACTCGAGGAAGAGTTCGAACCCGTAGGCCGAGTCGCCTGGGGTAGTTTGGCGTCCACCTCTCGTCGAGGTCGGACGTTAGACAAATTTGGGCTCTCGACCATGACGCCTGAGGGGCTTCAATCCCTTATTACCCAGTTCAACTTGCTTGGGGAGTACGCCTACTTCATACCTTCGGGCAGTTTCCCTTGGGAACACGGTCCTTATGAGATCGTGATATTCCGGGAGCAGCTCGCTGCGGGGTTGTGCCTGCCTTTCCACCCCCTCCTTGTCAAGGTCATGAACCACTTTGGCATTACTGTCGGCCAGGTTCACCCGAACTCCATTTGTAACTTGGTGAGGACAATCTCCCTATTTTGCGAACAGGGCTTGCCTTTAGACCTGAAGATTTTCTCTTCCATTTTAATGCTTAAGAAGCAAGCGGGTCCCCTTCCCGGGCGTAGGCGGGTGTATTACCTGTCTCCTCGCCCGAGTTTTAAGCTTTTACACGAACTTCCCAACAAGGTCCCGGCGTGGAAGCGGGACTACTTCGGGGTGCGAAGTGTATTGGGGTGGCCGTTTCAAACTAGGTAGGGGATGGACGCCCTTGACGCCGGTGTTACGCTTGATAAGGAGACGGTGAAGGGCCTCTGGCAATGGGCACGGCTTGGGCTAAAATGCCATCATTATCTGTTGGAGGCCAAGCTCATTGAGGCCGGTCTGAGTTCGGGTAGGTTCCTTACTCAGGTTTGTCTTTTGTTTTGCTCTATTCTTTCGTTTTTTTTTTTTTTTTTCTTTTCTGATGCCGAGCTCATTTTGCAGGTGTGATGGACTTGGAGAGAACTCGTGGTGGGCACCTGTTTCACGGCATGAAGAGGAGGAAGCGAGTCGCCAAACGAACTCGTGCCGAGCTGCCCCGAGATGCGGAGCCCGAGGTACTAGACTACCCGTCAGTGGATCCGCCCAGGGAGCCTGAGATGGCCCCTCCAGTTCATGAAGCGGCAGGGGCCCCTTATGCCGAGGCTACTTACACGGGGGCTCCCGTTTACTCCGAGTCCGCTTACACGCGAGCTGGGCCCTCAGGCTCGGGAGCACAAGGCGAGTTCAAGAGCGTGTTGTCGCCGAACCACGCTCTTCAGAAGAGTAGGGAGGCCATCCATCCTGAGGAGGTCGTGGCATGGTTCGAGCTTCCTTTGAACCAGGTAGCTTGTCGTGCTGCCACTCATGCCATGGTGGTAAGTTAGATTTCTTGTCGGGCTCTTTGCTTTTATCCTTCTTGCTGTCGTTCTTTTGATCATTTTGTTCTTTCCCATTTGGT